TTGGGGTTCAGGAATAATAAAGAATCTGTCCAATGTTAAAAATGGAACACAGAAATGCATTTGCATCCTCACCACCAACATTCCATTAAACAACTGATGAACAACGAGAGTTAATCAGATTACTAATGAGCTTCACTTCCATACTGTAAGCGTGCATTACTTGATAACTGTTTTGATGCATTGAGTTTTGTATCCATATTGGGCAAACTCCTTACCTCTGAATCATCACTGAAATCCTCTGTCCCTAATGAAGATGAGGAATGTCGCGGCACTTTTGTCTCGTAAACCATGATACCCCATCTATAAAAATCAACATTATGATTAAGCTACTATATGAGGGTTTCCCATTTTCTCAGCCGCTGCACACCATTCTAGGCCATTATGTTTCTCCCAATTATGCGTTATTACACTAATTCCTTATATCTTGCACTATTCTTCTTCTCCCTGCAGCATGCGCTATTCCTTTTCCATTCATAACATGCACCATTACCATCCCCCATATCGAGCACTATCATTCACCCAGTAGCACACATTCTTACGACTCACCACATGCACCATTAATCTCCCATCCTTAAGATATATCATTATCCTATCCCCACTACAATGCAGCATTGCCAAGCTTAGAGAAAGGTAATCTTCAACCTTCGCCAACAATGGGAATTAATCTGTGCCACCCTCAGTAAATAGCCTCTCACATTTGCAAAAGAAATGCCACTCTGTGGCCCTCTGCTGCTTCCAGATTGCTCCATCATTATGCCCACCCTTTTCCCTGAGCCGATTGGTCCAAGGTTAGGAATTCAAAGTGCTGGATGGTGTGTTCCAAGGATCCACAATGCTTGCTGCTGTTTCAGCCACATCCTTAATGTGTTGCGATGCTTGTTATTGTGCAGTAAACTTCCTTTCATCTTTTCTCAGTTACTGACCATTTCTGCTTCTATTACACATATCTATTAGCTCATTGTCGAATATCTTATCACCTCACCTCTTTGTCAGCATTTACCTATCCTCAGATAAAAATTCCACAAGCATCAACAAGTGTCTGAGCCTATACAGGGTCAGCAGATTACTTGACTGTGAGAGAACATCACAGTCGTGCTCAATTCTGTCCTCACTCAACATCCATATACATGTACATTCTATCAGAATTGTGATCAGGAGCAGGAACTCTAACTGCTTCTCCCTGTCAGAAACAAAGGTAGTGAGGTCTTTGTACATCCAAGTATAGAAGGAAAAACATGGTATTGCACAATTATACACTAAAGTGAAATGAATAGAATGCAGTGAAACAGGATTCTCCTCTCACTGACTTAACAAAATATAAGTAAACTAGCCAAGTTGTTAGCAATGTTCTCACCTGTCCAGCATTTTTGTACTTGCTCGTTCCAGTTTCTCCAGGATTTGAGGAAGCTGAGTGTCATCATCGCAGGCTGATCCCCACCCAAGCACACGTGCCAGGTCATTCCCCGTTCCCAAAGGTAGAACTCCCATCTGGCACTGAAAAAGTTTGGCAGTTACTAAAAACAAGAATCACCGATTTCCTGGAACATCCCACCCTCACTTACAGTGCTCTGTACCAAACCCTGCCATAATCTCAACCTCACATACTACAGCATTTTCAAAGGCAGTCTTTGATAATAAGATAGAAAATGAAATGATAGGTCTGATGTTCAGAATAATCAGATATAAAATGGAGCTGGACGGATTAAACCAATGAAAGAATAAACAGATTGGGTCTGCAAGGAGTAGAATGATGGGCCAAAATATCAAATTTGACTTGGACTTTCATTGGGGTTGGACTGATTTGTCATTTTTCTCTGGATTTACTTTGCTGGAGAATTATGAACACCAGCCATTGTTTGTTGCTATTGTGTCGCTGGCTCCAATCAAAAAGAGAAAGTATTTATCTTGTCTGCACAAGATTCTACACAATACCTGCTTATGGAGATTGAGACTATCGATTTCAGACAACACCCATCCAACGCTGCCATCTCCACCACACACAAGAATTCGAAATGTGTCAAACTTTTGAAATAACCGCAAACTGTAAACAAAAAAGACAGTGTGTAAAAGACACTGTTGTCTGGTCTATGCTGCCTGAAAACAAACACAAGAAATGGCAAGAACCCCAACTAACATTCCCAAACCTGTTTGACTTCAGTCCTCAACTGAATATGACACCATCACAGATTACTGTAATTCCACTTCTTTGTTATACAATTATTTCCACATTTGTTTTCTCACCCAAAATTGCTAAGTCTCAGAGTAAGAGAATCAAAACAAAACTATTTGCCCCATTAGTTTTCCAGATGCCACTTCGTACAATTTTGATCTCCTGCTCAATAATTACCTTCAATAGCCCTCAACTCATCTTCTGTTTAAATATCTGCACTTACAGATTAATGGCTCTATTTGCTAATTCTTTTGAATTTAAGAAGTCTTTTATTTCCCACTATTATTTAATGTTCCATTCAAGTATTTCCGTTATCAACTTGAACCAAATTATATTGCGATCATTGCTTCCAAGGGTTTCTCTAATTTTATGTCATCCACTTGTCCTGCATAATTTAACCAGACATATGTCAATAACTACCTCCTTCTCGAAAAAAAAATCACAAGATTAACCCTAAACCAATGGAAGAAACAGATCTCTGCTAACACAAGTAGTTTACCTATTCACATTTGTTTGTCCAATCATAATATTTTATGCCACTAATAATTATAATTAATATAGAAAATACAAGTTCTGCAAGTACACATTATAAATCTGCCATGAGATCTCAAATGGAAGTTCCCAAAATGAGATCTCAAATGATAGCTCCCACAATCAAATCTCAAACCAAACATTTACATCTCAAATGATAAATCCCAAAACAAGAACTCTTTTGGCTCACAATGACAACCATTTTGACCCACTCAACTAGAATTTCCATAATTTAAAATCCTATTGGTTGGTTTGCACAAGCACCTCTGGATCCTCAGCATAGTCCTATATAGTGTATAGGTTTGGATAGAAAGGGCCAGCAAGGTTCCAAGCATGTGGAGTGAACCATAGCTAGGCCCCATGCTGTTGTTGCCTATTATTGAAAACTTTCCTGCACCAGCCCCTAGCCAGTGACTGGGAGTAGGAACTCTCATGACGTTCCCAACATTGTGACTGAGGCTGCTGCTACGCTCCCAATTACTTGTCAACTCCACATTAGAGCAGTTTTGATTTTGTTTTAATAAAACCTACCTAACACTATGACCAACAATGTGATAACATTGAACTGTAAAGATGTGTGCTTGAAGGAAATGTGAAGCACCTCCTACCCAAGGTGTGGGCCTCCGTTCATCAAGTCAAACACCTGAGCCGGGTTCAGCAACTGCTTGAATCTCCTCAAGAACTTCACCCCCTGGTTATCGCCACTTTTAGAGTTCACGAACACAAGAAGTGGACTGGTACATGATGGTGGGCACGTTGCTTTCCAAAACCCTGAAGAACATCAGGAATGTGATTAAACATTTTGCTGAATTAGTCAGTCACTGAGAAAAAGTGATGAGTTCAGTAGTTGCACAAGCACCTGTCAACCCAGAGCACTGTACCTCTCACACTATTGAGTTGTAAGTTTGGGTCATTATGACTTTTATCGGATATGTCATTTTGGATCTTACACTAACTTAGAGGACAGCACTAGGACTGAGAACGCAATCGGTATTATAGCAGAGCCCTGAGCCTTACTCAGTGAACAGCATGTAGCAGGTTGCTATCAGGCTGAAGTTGCCATGAGTGATTAGAACACATTTCAACAAAGTTGTGGTCCCACAATATATGCTCATTAACTCACTCACCATTACTGATACCCTCACACAACAACACACAAACTTCCAACAGCCAATCATAAACTCTCAATACTTCTCATATTCACTCTTAAACTCTCTCACAACTAATCACTATCAAATACTCCTCCAAATCATCTAAGTCAATCACTCTTACTACGAAACAAAACACCTCGCACTCATTCTCAAATTCTTGCAGGACCTATTATTGTCCCTTCAAAATTACTCATATTTGCTCAAACTCCCATAAACCAACTCACAGCTACACCCAAACTGGCACTGGTGCTATCTAACACTCTCACACCCATTCACAGTCACTAACATTTTACCACAGGTTGACACGGACTTATACTCCCTCACTACCACTGTCAGACTCCACACACACACTCAAAATCTCCCTGTGACACCTTCTCTTGATCTGTTTGCGCCACTCACTCTGCTCCTCAGGTCACATATCTACCAGTCATTCTTAGCCTTGGGACAAATATTTCATCCACTCCTAGCTTTAAAAAGACCTTTGAGTCAAATGTCTCACCCCCTGCTAGCCTTGGGTTAATTCTAATCTGCTTGCCTTGCTCGGTTCGATAAGAGTTTGTGATAAATGCAAGCAAATTGTTCTTAGGACAGGTGAAACAAACGCACTGAACTCACCATCAGAGTCAATGCTGTTGAGTGCAGTCGGAGGAATAACAGAAACTTTACACTGTCCTAGAGGACATTTAATCGGAAGCATTTCTTTACAGGCTGTGTGTACCTGGAGGAAATGATTATGATTCAGAAATTAGCATGAAGTGATCCAAACTGGAGGTCAAAATTGATCAAGAGAAGAGCAGAAAACAATGTGATTCAACTGTGAGGGAGAAAATATGAATCCAGATTTATCTGTTCAAGTTTACAACAGATTGGCAGACTCTCACATAGTTAGTTGCATTAGTGATGTGATTTTTCTAATGGATGCATAAAATTTCTTTGCATAAAAGTGCAAATATAGTATGATGTTGATTGAACTCAGTTACTTGGTATACTGATGCTAGCAAAACATGAGTCTGGCTACTCCCAGCTAAATATTGCTGTGTCTTCAAATATAACTGCTTGTGTTAAATTGTGGCAAATGGCAAAGCCTCTTAATCAGCATATGCAATTCCTGTATTTCTAAATATGACATCCAACAAATATTAATCAAATCAATATTTTCCTTTAAAGGGAATAAAGAGTTTGAGTCTATCAGAGCTGTGATCCAGTTTCCTGCTGTGACTTGGCACTGTTCCGTCCTTGCAGGAGTGGACCCTCTGCAGGGTGCTGCCCCAGTAAAGTATGCAGTCAGATAAAGCTTGTTCGTAGCACTGGTCTGCAGCACATCCCATGGAAATAACTCCACTGGCAAGACTGGTGCAGCTGGAAATGTCTACAACAACTGTGGAGAGACATAACACTGAGTTGGGGTATGGGATAGAGATAGGACAGGAGGGAAAACAGTAATGGGAGCGAGTTGGCAGTGGGGGAAGTGGAAATGAGGGAGGCAATGAGGGAAATAGGAAACAAGTGTGGATAAGAAGCAAAGAAATAAAAAATCACGGACAGGGGAGGATGACAGGTGAGAAGATCCAGCATTGGGGAAAGAGCATTGATATGTTGGCTGATAGAGATGTGAAGAGGAGGAGATATAACAGCATAGCTTGATGAGAGAAGGGTGAGAACAGTGAGGTACAGGAGTGTTGTGATGAAGTAAGGGAAATAATGAAAATGAAAGACAAGGATACAGGTAGTCAGGTAGGAAATGGTGAAGGGGAATAAGACAGGTACTGAATGATTAAGTCAAAGGTCACAGTGGATATTTTAACAATCAGCTAACATGACAGGATCACAAGATCATCGGATTTTGCAAAAAGGTATGCAGAAACTTGTGAACTGATTGCTATGAAATTGAACAGTCAGCAGCTGAAATTTTCTCTGATTTAAAATTAAAGTTTCATCGTCATCACTTCTAGTTGTCAGGCTTAAGATACTTAAAACCAAGTTTGTGCTCGGCAGGCTGACAAGTCAACAAAAAAAAACAACATTTATCACCACGATATAAGGATTACGTCTTGATTAACTAAACAGTCAAAATGTTCTGACCAGCCATTACTCACCATCGCCTTGCACCACAGGCAGCGCCAATCCTGCAGGCGTAGAACACTGCCACATGTTTTGTCACAGACAGTACATTTTGCACTGACAGGCAGGTTGCCTTCCAACCACTGATGTGGCATTGAGACCTGAATAAGGGAAGTAGAAGAGAAGTACAGTATAACACCACCATCAATACAGATGATATGATATCTTTTTACTTATAAATTCTGTGTCTGATACCACCTCTCTCACTGACACCTGGAGGAGGAGTGAGGCCCTAAAAGCTTGTGTTTTCAAATAAACCTATTGGACTATATCCTGGAGTCGTGTGATTTCTGACCAAATAATTATCATACTTGGTTCACATAGGCATCAATGATAGAGGCAGAACTAGGAAAAAGAAGTCCTGCTTAGTGAGCAGGAGCTGCTAGGGGCTGAATTTAAAAGCAGAACCTTGAAACTGATAAACTCTAGAATATTATCTTTGCCACTAATAAATTGGAATATGCGGAAAAATGTGACATAATCCACATTGACTGGAAGAACAGAAATGCAGAGAATTTCTTAAACAGTGAGAAATTGCAAAGGGTTGATATCCAAAGTGAATGGGGTCCTCTTGTTTCTAGGTTACTGAAAGCTGACATGCATGTGCAACGAGCAATTAGGGTGGCAGATGGAATGTTGGCCTTGATTGCAAAAGGATTTGAGTACAAGAGTAAGGAGGTCTTGCTGCAATTGGACAGAGCTTTGTGATAAGACTGTACTTGAAGTAAATTTGGTATCCTTACCCAAGGCCATAGAGGGAATACAACAAAGATTTGCCAGACTGATCCCTGGGATATTGGGATTGTCCTATAATGAGAGATTGAGAAAACTTGATATAGTCTTTAGAGTTTAGAAGAATGAATTGTAGTTGCAGGAAAGATACTTCTGCTGACTGAGGAAAGGAGTGGGGGGGATCTAGAATTAAGAGACACAGCCTCAGAATAACTAATAAGCCATTTAGGTCTGAGATGAGGAAGAATTTCTTTACTTAAGCATGCAGTGAATCTTTGGAATTTTCTGCTCCAGAGGACCTCGGAGGCTCAGTTGTTGAATTTATTGAAGCCTGTGATCAATTAATTTCCAGATACTAAAGATATCTAGGAATTCAGGGATAATGCAGAAAAATGGCTTTGAGGTACAAGATCACTCACAATCTAGCCGAGTGAGGAAACAGGCTCAAGGGGTCAAAAGACCTACTCCTGCTCCAATTTCTTACCTTCCCATGTTCATGAAGTCATTCTTACTTCTGAATCAGACTTTTGGGTTCATTTCTTGGATTTGGGGATAACATTTTGGTGATACAACTGAGGGAATTCTGCACTGATAGATATACCATCCTTTAAATACCAAGCTGAACAGGCAGTACCTATCTGTTCAGGTCAACATAAAAAAAAATCCAAAAGTACTATTCAAAGAAGTGAGTCACATTCTTACCTAGTTCTTGTTCATGTTCATTTCTCAAACACTTAAATCACTAAAAATTTTAATTCCACTTCTGTTTGTGGGTATTGCTATGCATAAATTGGACACATTTTGTCACTTCTGTAAAAGTGACTCCACTTCAAACCTCTTTCTTTAGCTGTTAAGTGCTTTGAGTTGTCCTGAAATTATGAAAAACACTAGTTCTTTCTTTGAAATCAAACACAACCCAGCAAATTGAAATAAAAGATGCTGCTTTACCATGATCTACCAATAAGGGGAGCTCTAATATTTAAAATACAGAGAGGGTTTTCAAAGAGTGCTCCGCTTCTGCAACATGATTCAATCCATTTAGATGTGCAAGTCTTTTTCATCTAAAATGTCAATCTTAAATGCTTCTGTTTTATGGAAGATAATTAGTCCCACTGGCGATCATTTGATGGTCAGTGCCATATTCTTCCTGGCATCCACTTAATGCCCAGTGCTATGTTCGTCCTGTTATCCAGTCATTACCCAGTACTATATTGCTTGTTGCAATCACTCACTGCCCAGTTCCATATTCCACCTAGCAACTACTAAATGCCCAGTGCTTTACTCCCTCTGATATCTATTTAATGCCCAGTGCAATAGTCCTTCTGGTATCTACTCAATGCCCAATGACATATTCTCTGTACTATCTACTTACTGCCCAGTGGTCCTCTTAGTCATCATTCACTGTCCAGTCTCCCCTAATACCCACTCACTGCCTGGTGTCATATCTTACCCCTCCCATGCCCCACCACTGCAGATCACTAGGTGCTCAGTGACATATCCGACTGGTAAACGCTAACTTCTCATTACCATCTTCCGCTAAGTTAATATTCATCGCCAAGGATCACGTTCCCCTGATAATTATTTATTTTGCAGTGATAGGAATTCCTGATGGAATGATTTCACAGTGTTCTGAATTCAACACTCACCAGTTCCAACTCCAGTCACGAATTGAGGGTATCGCATGCATCAACATACCAGTTGTGACAAATTCCATTTTAAAAGCATTGCCTGGTTGCTAGGCTTTAGCTAGCATTTGCTATACTTTCAATTTTCCAACATTCTCTCCATGCACAACTTACCCCATCTTCATCTTCAATTATATCTTTAGCAATTGAGGCCAAAGTTGTCCACTTGCAGTTGTTGGTTGCTCTCACAGCACAGCGTTTGTGAGCTTTGAACTTGCACACTGTGAACCAGAAAGAAGAGAATACGTGAGAGTTTTCAGTAGCTATTCTATGCAAAAGCCTTTTATTTGTGAAGGAGTGGAGTAGGACGATTAGACCATCTTGCCTTTGATTAGGACTCCCAAGGTGGACCCTCTTATATGTCTCTCCACCATGAGGATGTTGTCAGGACACTCCATTTCCTCTTGGACCAAAGGCCTGATCCGCCCCTATCCACCACCCTCCCCTGCCTGGCTGAAGTCAACAACTTCCCCTTTAACTCCTCTCATTTTCATCAGATCAAAGGTGTGGCCATGCATACTTGAAAGGACCCCAGTTATGCCTGTTTGTCGGGTACACGGAACATTCCTTGTTCCAGTCCTACTCGGGCCTGGTCCGCAATCCTTTCTCCTGTACATTGATGACATCATCGATGCTGCTGAAATCAGAAATGTTCATCAATCATGCTTCCAATTTCCAATCTGCTCTCAGCTTCACCTGGTCTGTCTCTGACTCCTCCCTTCCCTTCCTCGACATCACTGTTTCCATTTTTGGGGACAGGTTGGCCACCAGCATCCACTACAAACCCACTGATTCCCACTGCTACCTTGACTATACGTCTTCACAGCATGCTTCCTGTAAAGGCACTGTTCCCTTCTACCAGTTTCTCTATCTCTATTGCATCTCTTTCGATGATGCCAGCGTCTACAAGGGGGCCTCTGAAATTTCCACCTCCTTCCTTGACCAACGATTCTCTGCTACAGAGGTTAACAGGGTTTTCAGCCATGTCTAACCTATCCCCTGCACTTCTTTCATCACCCCTTCACTTCCTTCCCACAAGAGCAACAGTGCTCCCCCCAGTCCTCACTTAGAACCCACAATCTGTAGGATTATTTGCAATCATTTCAACCACCTTCAATAGGATGCTACTACCAGACACAGATTCCCTTCCCCTCCCGTTCCTTGTCAGCCTTCTGCAGGGACTGTTCCCTCTGGGGCACCTTGGTCCACTCCTCCTCCACTCCCAATGCATCCCCACATTCGCATGTAATCACAGAACGTGCAACACGTGCCTGTTTACTTCCTCCTCCTCACTATCAAAAGTCAAAGACACATCTTCAGGTGAAGCAGAATTTACCTGCACTTCACTCAATCTAGTCTATTGTATTTGCTGCTCACTGAAAAACTGTTGTGTGCTCTGCTTCACGGAAACTTGGCTCACCCCTGCCATTCCCAACTCTGCCCTGCAGGCTGATGGGTTCTCCATACACTGCATGGACCACATGGCATCCTCGGGTAAGGCGAAGTGCAGTGGGGTATGCTTCCTGGTCAACACTTCCTAGTGCTCGGACATAGTGACCATGGCAAGCCACTGCTCCCCGGACCTAGAATACCTTACAGTAAAATGCTGTCCCGACTACCCATCACGAGAGTACACCTCCACCATCCTGAAAGCAGTCTACATACCACCCTATGCAGATGTGAAGAATGCCTGAGATGTGATTTACACTGCCACAAACACACTAGAAACAAAATTCCTGAGTCCCTATTCATCATGACCGGCGACTTCAACCAAGCCAACCTCAAGCAGATGATGCCAAAATACCACCAACACATCTCCTGTCCCACCAGAGGGGTGAACATTCTGGACTACTGCTACACAACCACCAAAGACGTGTATCGCTCAATTCCCCACCCACACTTCAGAAAATCCAACCACAGCACTGTGTTCCTCCTCCCAGCTTACAAGGAGAAGGTGAAACTGGAGAATCCTTCACGAAAAGAAGTACAGTGCTGGCCCAAGGCAGCGGAAGACTGGCGCCGGGTCTGCTTTGACTCGGTGGACTGGAATGTGTTCAAGTGTTCAGTGGAAAACCTGGAAGAGTACGCCAGCACTGTCACAGACTTCATTAGCAAATGCACGGAGATCTGTGTACCAAAGAAGTCAATCTGCGTGTTCCCCAACCGTAAACCTTGGTTGAATCAGGAAATCCACTCCCTACCGAAGACCAGACGTGCAGCATTCAAGTCGGATGAGCCGGACCGATACAGAAAATCCAGATATGACCTCCGTAAAGCCATCAGGGAGGCCAAGAGGCAGTACGAGACCAAGTTAGAGGTCCAGACCTACCAAATGGACTGCTGCTGTCTATGGCAAGGCCTAAACGGCATTACAGGATACAAAATGAAACAGTGCAACGTAGCGGACAAAGACACATCCCTTCCTGACACGTTCAATGCTTTCTATGCTCGTTTTGAGCAGAATACCACCGACGTGGCGACACCTGCCCTAACAGCCCCAAACACACCTGTTCCCGCTGTCACTGCTTCAGAAGTAACATCAGACTTCCTGAGAGTCAAACCAAAGAAAGTGATGGGCCCGGACGGTGTCCCTGGCCAAGCACTCAGATCCTGGGCAGACCAACTGGCGGAGGTATTCACCAACATCTTCAACCTCTCCCTCCTACAAGCTGAAGTCCCCACTTACTTCGAGAAGACCACCATCATCCCTATACCCAAGAAAAGACATACAGTGTGCTTTAATAACTACTGGCCAATAGCTTTGACTTCAATAATCATGAAGTGCTTCGAGAGACAGTCTCCCAACCTGCCTCAACCCCCTACAGTTTGCCTACCAACATAACAGGGTCACAGAGGATGCCATATCCCTAGCCCTGCACTCATCCTTGGAAAATCTGGACAACAAAGACACCTACGTCAGATTCCTGCTCGGCCTTTAACACCATTATCCCCCCCAGATTGGTCTCAAAACTGCGTGAGCTTGGTCTCGACTCCGTCCTCTGCAACTCGATCCTCAGCTTTCTAACCCATAGATCGCAATCAGTGAGGATAGGTAACTGCACCTCCTCCACAATAACATCAACACTGGAGCCTCCCAAGGATGCATCCTCAGCCCCCTACTGAATTCCCTGTACACCTGCGACTGTGTTGCCAAATTCTGACATCTACAAGAGCGACGATAACCGACAACCTGTCCTGGACTTCCCGCGTAAACGCAACAGTCAAGGCGGCACAACAACGCCTCTTCTTTCTCAGGCGGCTCAGGAAATTTGGCATGTCCATAAGGTCCCTCACGAGATTCTACAGATGCACCACTGACATCCTTTGCTTGCCTTACCTGTATCACTCGTAAACAAAGCTTTTCACTGTGTTTCGCTATACGTGACAATAAAAATCAATCAATCACAATGTGGTCTCCTTTGCATTGGGGAAATGAAGCACAGATTGAGCAACTGCTTTGCAGAACACCTATGACACCATCATTGTGGGACGGATATCTAACAACGATGAGTCAAAATACAGAAGGGAGATCGAGGGCTTGGTGATGTAGTGCAATGAAAACAATCTCTCAACGTCAGCAAAACTAAAGAACTAATCATCGACTTCAGAAAGAAAGGAGGACAACACGCCCGCATCTACATCAACGGAACTGAGGTTGAGAGATTGAAGAGCATCAAGTTCCTTGGAGCGGCGATAACCGACAACCTGTCCTGGACTTCCCGCGTAAACGCAACAGTCAAGAAGGCACAACAACGCCTCTTCTTCCTCAGGCGGCTCAGGAAATTTGGCATGTCCATAAGGTCCCTCACGAGGTTCTACAGATGCACCCCTGAAAGCATACTGACCGAGTGCATAATAGCTTGGTATGGCAACTGCGCTGCCCAGGACTGTAAGAAACTACAGAAGGTGGTGTGCACAGCCCAGACCATCAATGAAGCCAACCTTCCATCCATGGACTCTATTTACACAGCTCACTGCCACGGAAAGGTGGCCAACATCATCAAAGACCCGTCACACCCCGGTAATCACACCCTGGTAATGACCCCCTACAACTCCTTCTGTCAGGCAGAAGATACAGGTGCCGGAACACACACACAAGTAAGTTCAGGAAAAGCTTCTTTCTAGCCGTTATCAGACTGTTGAATGGACTCTCGCCTCAAATAATGTAACCTGTAGTGTAACCTATATGGCTCTAAGTCTTTTGATTTGTACATCCTTTGCTTGCCTTATCTGTATCACTCGTAAACAAAGCTTTTCACTGTATTTCGCTATACGTGACAATAAAAATCAATCAATCACAATGTGGTCTCCTTTGCATTGGGGAAATGAAGCACAGATTGAGCAACTGCTTTGCAGAACACCTATGTTCTATCTGCAAAAATGACCCTGAGCTTCCTGTTGCCTGCCACTGCAACATACCACCACGTTCTTTGGCCAACATCTTTGTCTCAGGTTTGCTGCAGTGTTCCAGAACAGCTCAGCGCAAGCTTGAAGAGCAGCAACTCATGTTTTGCTTGGGGATCTTGCAGCCTTCAGGACTCAAAAGCGAGTGCAATAATTTTAGGGCCTTAGCACCTTCTCCCACATCCTTACCCAAAACCCCAAACACCAGGCCTTGCCATTACTTAGGCTGCTACCACAAACAACCTATTGTCATTACTAATGGTCCCAATTAGCAGCTATTGATTCTCCCAAGCTGACCTTGACCTATTCCTTTGTCTACCCAATCGTTACTCTCTCTCTGGGTTCCGTCTCCATCTATCATTTAGTCTTCCCCCATCCCTCCACCACATCTTCAGCAAATCTTTCATAGCTACAATCAGTTTTGAAGAAGGGTCACTGGACCTGAAGCATTATCTCTGCTTTGCGTCCACAGATGCTGACAGGACCTGCTGAGTTTTTCTCGCAATTTCTGGTTTTATTTGGGCTCCATAACTGCCAGCTTGTAGACCACATTTCTTTGTAGATAGTGTACACCCCCTGAGCACTACTGAATGAATGGCTGTCATTGGGGTGAAGGCTATCATATACTCCAGTTGTGATTGGGATCCCCTCAGTTTTCAGACTTTGTGCCACTCGGACCTAGGCTCTTTTTAATAGGGAACTTATGGGGAGGTTATATAACAATAAAGGTTTCTTCTTAAGCAAAAATGCAACTTATTATGGCCCCCAAATGATCAAAATCCTTTATAGAGGCATTCTTCTTATCTGTATCTTTTACAGACACAAAGAGTCACACTACTGTGGTTCCACCACTTAGACCCTTTGTCAGAGGTGAATTCTTAAGATCTCTTATCGTGGAAGACTCATTTTCAGGAGACTATATTGAGAGCGCCTCACAAGTTAAAAATATTCTTTTGAATATTCTCTAAAAATGTCTTTTTAAGTTCTTTCAATACTATTTTTCTCATAATTATTCCTTGTTTACTTGTCAAAGTTGATTACACAATCCAGTAACTTACACTTAGTATGGCACATGGCTAGGCAGTAGTTAAATAGCTAAACACTAATTCAAATTTAAAGTGGGAATTATAAGTGATTTTAACTAAAATATCTCATACCATACTGCCAACGCATAGTCTGATTTGGCAGTTAAAACAAAACAGAATATAAATAGACCAAAATATTCAACAAAAAAAAAATCAAACTCAACAGGAATAAACAAAGGAAGAATGTGAAAATGAAAGGCATTTTTTACAGTTTATTTTAAAAGGCTCCTGATCCCAGAGAAACAGGAAGAATCCATCCATCTCTCTGAGGAAATAACTATCCAGTTTTTGTATCACTCCTTGTGAAGAACAACTTTGTGGGCTGTGCATTGATATTAACCCACACAAATTGAGTGCTTGTTTATGATGGAAATAATAACGGATAACAATTCCTGCAATGTTCACTTGGGGCACTATGGCAAAGGACAGGGCCTGGTGAGTGGTTAATTGTAAATTCAAGATCATAACTTCTCAGCATAAAGCTATCATGACTGGCTAAGAGAGTGAGTGTTGATCCTTACCTTCACAGGACAATCCATGAGACGTAACCCCCGACAAGGCCTCTCGACACACATTGCAGTAAGTTGGCCGTGCGTGTGAGCAGGCATACCAGTTGTGCATCCCTGAGAAATGGTCCATGCTGTACTGGGTTGACTGCACAGTAAAAAGCACGAGGAGGAAGAATAAGAGGTGTTTATCATATACTGTCAGAAAATATATTGGATCCAAATCATGGCAACTAGTTTCCAGGATTGCATGATTGGATGGGAATAGCTGGCAAATTATGGAAGAAATGCTTATCTGTACATCACTATGCTCGGAAAAGTTGTGACATAATGGATAGGATTTTTAAAAAAATTCCTATGTCTGGTTGGGCTCTGGTAGGTGTGACGTTACCTGCTGGTGGATGCTGCATTTGTGACGTGGGAGTAAAAACAGACAAATATTCTTAGTTAGTTACCACATTGTTCTTTACTCGACTGTTACGTATAAGGTCACAAAGGAGAACAAATTCAATATTATTTCTGAAACAAGCTGTTTTAAAAAAGCCATACACTGCTCAATGTGCATGATCATTGTGCCAATTGCATAACTCAGTGATGGGAACACTCCTTCCCTTTGTATATCTGCCAGTCACTTGCTCAATTAGGATGGTGTGATGGATTATAAGAATAGGGCCAAATTCCACCTTGACTCTACTATTACACAGAAGCAATAACAATACAATGCTATAAGAAGGCTTTTAAAAAATGCTGATTCATCCTCCTGTAAAGGATTAAACTTTTTCACTACACTGAGGACACAGCAAGTAAAACTAGTCTCCCATGAGTATACAGGGCATGATGTTTTGTGTCACAGATTAGGCCAGTGACCAAAAGGATGATAACCATGAGCAGTACTGAGGCACAGTGGAGAAAATGGTTACTATGAAAATGAACAGTTCTTAGAACAAACAAGAAGTGATTATGGGTGACTACTGTTACAGGAATAAACAGACCTTTCATCCCAGTTGTGCTCTGAAGTCTTGAAATGTTGTGTCATCTCCAGGAATAAAGAACCTAACAGAGTAGATGAGAAAATCTGAGAAAGATGGGGTGAAAGCTAGAATTCATGATGTATGTGCAAATCAACGATGCATGGAAGAGCAGGCAGGAAGTCTTAAAATGGGAGGTTAGGGGACTAGCAGATAAGAAAGCCAAGGTAGGGAAACTAGCCAACGGAGCTATCTTCACACCAATGTCAGAGGAAAGGAAACAGTGGAACTTGAAGCACAAGTCCAGTGTGCGCAGAGTGAGCTGGGAGCAATAAAAGAGAGCTGGCTGTACCCTGGACATCAGTGGGAACTAAACATAAGAGATTATGCAGATTTAGATACTGGAGGGTTACAAAAATGGTGGTGGTGAAGATGGCAGGGAAGGGTGATTAAACTATTAACAAAATACATAATAACAGTAATATGAAGGGTCTAAATTAATAGAGTTAAGTAGAAACTCAATGAGTAGAACTAAAGAGGAAAGTACTGAAGATGCTGGTCTGAGTTTTGATAGATCTGTTTGTGATGACACAAAAAAAGAATGGATGGAATGAAGATCTCGAAGACAATAGTAATAATGGGAAACTCAACTGTGTATCAACAGGAAAAGATTTACTATCCTAAAAAGAACTCAGCAAAATTTTATTTAACCATCCACATGGTACTTCTTTACCATGTAGAATTTGGTTGGATTTAGCTCGATTTAAATGGTCCCTACAATTGAATAGCTGCCAGAACTCTCTTTCCAGCTTCACACACGGAGAAGCATCAGAGTACGGCGGGTGATGGCCTAGTGGTATTATTGCTAGACTGTTAATTCAGAGATTCAGGTGATGTTCTGGGTACTCAGGGTTCAAATCCCGCCATGCCAGATAGTGGAATTTGAATTCAATAATAACTGGGAAATAAGAGTCTAATGATGTCCATGAAACCATTGTCGATCGGCAGGAAAAACCCATGTAGTTCACTAATGTCCTCCAGGGAAGGGAATCTGCTGTCCTTACCTGGTCTGGCCTACATGCGACTCCAGAACCATAGCAATGTGGCTGACTTTCAACTGTTCCCTGGGTAATTAGGGATGGCCAATAAATCCTGGCCTAGCCAATGAAAGTCTCATCCCGTGAATGAGTTAAAAAAAAATGTCATCTGGAAATGCCCCAAAAGCCTATATATTGACCTTTCCTTCTTTCACACTGAATCTGTAAAACCTCACTACTTTTCCCACCGGCCACAAGTGTCATGAACATAGAACATAGAAAAATATAGCACAGTACAAACCCTTCGGCCCATGATGTTGTGCCGACCTATTATCCCATTAAGATCGAACTACCCTGCATACTCTACATTTTAGAGTCGCTTAAATGTCCCTAATGTATCTGACTCCACTACCACTGCCGGCAGCGCATTCCATGCATCCACCACTCTCTGTGTAAAGAACCTACCTCTGACATCTCCCCTATACCTTCCTCCAATCACCTTAAGTTATGCCCCCTCATAACAGTCATTTCCGCCCTGGGAAAAAGTCTCTGGCTATCCACTCTAGCTATGCCTCTCATCATCTTGTACACCTCTATCAAGTCACGTCCCATCCTTCTTCGTTCCAATGAGAAAAGCCCAAGCTCCCTCAACCTTTCCTCATAAGACCTGCCCTCCAGTCCAGGCAGCATCCTGGTAAATCTCCTCTGCACTCTCTCTAAAGCTTCCACATCCTTCCTATAAGGTGGAGACCAGAACTGAACACAATATTCCAAGTATGGTCTAACCGGGGTTTTATAGAGCTGCAACATAACCTCGCAGCTCTTAAACTCAATTCCCCTGTCCTCAATGTCATTATGTAATTTGCAGTCAGCAGTTCACATTCACATTCCTGAAGGTGCTGTCCTTCAGCCACCTCACCTCAAAGTGATCCCTGTTCTGGATACTTTTCATTGCTGCGATCCAATCTTCCATCTCCTTGCGGTTTTCAGCACACAAGATCAGCTTTCGGAAAGGAGTAATTATCTGCAAAAGCAAATATATACCGGGTTATGTAAAAACACTCTCGGCTGACATTGTATCAGTGCAGATCTACAGATCAAACCTGGAAGAACAATTAACATTTTCAAGTTAAGTTTGTTTTGCAATTCATATTTCACCGAGACAAACAATTAACCACTAAATGCCATCAGCATATTATCTTCATGGAAGGGTTTTCTGTTAGGAAGGCAGTAGGAATTAAGCAATTGAACTTGGTACTACTGGATTGGCTGGTGAAGCTTAGGCAGGACACCTGTTCCATGACTAGTGACTGCCACTGAACCTTGCTGAAGGGTGAAGTCATATGGATGGTGTAATGACAATGGAATCAGTTGTGGTGCCACTCACGGCACCTTTATATTTATTGTTGGGTATGCGCATGATGAAATGGTACTTTAGAGACTGGCATGTGTGGCACTGTTCCCAGGTTTCAGCCAAAATGTTCAGGATTGGAGGGAGAGAATCACTGCCAAAGGAGTTTTGGCATAATTAAGATATATAATAATGGAGCAAGCTGTAAAAATAAAATCACTCTGAAAATTCCCTTGGGCTACTTCATTTTAAAAAGAAATGTATCTTGCAAAGTATTCTGATAACATTATCAGAGGAATGAGCTGGATTTCGGGTAGACAATACAGCAGGCAGAGAACTCCATTATGAATGGGTTGAACCCTGAAATGAACAAAGTAGATAGGCCTGTTGTCTCTTCGTCTCTCACAGAGACTTCTTGTTGGCTCTTTCCCTCACAATAATGGCGTCTGTTGGCTGAGTCCCTTAAACTGTCCGTGCCTGTTAGCTCTATTACTCAGACTGACAACATTTGCTGGCTCTCTCTTTCACACTGACAGTGTCTGTTGGCTGTCTTTCTTTGACTCTCTCCTCACACTGACGGTGCCTGCTGGCTCTCTCTCCCTCACGCTGACGGTGCCTGC